AGTTTTTGATAATTAAGATAAGATTTATATATTTGTATGCATGTGATTATATGAAATGTTATATTGATTTGTATGATATACTCATGCATTTTTAGGAATTAGAGTTTCAATTATGAGATTTATATGCCTCACTAAGTCTTCAACTTAGCGTGTGAGTGTTTCACACGTAGGTTTCGGAAAGCGCGAAGAGAAGTTAAGAGGAGCAAGACAGGTCAGCATCTTCCTTACAAAGTTCAGATCAGAAAAGAAATGTTTGATATGTATTTTATTCTTTTAGATGTAGTTGGCATGTAATATAAACGATTTGAATTGTATATGCTCTGATAAGTGTGAAAACTTTTATCTTGAAATAATATGAAGTTTTATTTAACGGGGATTTTTTCATTATTTTGAACAAGTAAAGGTTTAAAAGTTGATGTGACACCTCAGACTCGGATCCGGATTGGATACGGGTTGGGGGTGTTACACATTGCATCTCATGAACCTTCAAACCCATTCGACTGACTCTTCATTGAAGCATGATATGGAGAATAAAAACCATAATTGGTCTAAAATGTGAAATATTCGACAAAAGTAGAAGCAGAAGACGAAGATGTTTTCTTGTGCTTTGTGTATTTTGCTTTCATTTCTTCCTATTGTTCCCTCTCTTCCTGTATTGTTAAATATTGTTTCTCATTTGCTTCATAATTTCATAGGTGAGAAAAAATGTTGAAATTAAGGTCAGCATCTGTAATCTCGAAACGCATAAGGACAAATAAATGTTGCTTGTTCCATTGTTGAATGTATACAACATGCTTTCTTGGCCCTCTTTATGCTTCCCACGCGTATCAATTTTATGAAACGCATCCATATCAAATATTTGCATAGGAATTGGTTGATGGGATGCAAACTGGCGCAACACTCTATCTAAGGCATGCATCTCAATAATCGCAAAATGAAGCAAAGACTTAACGGCACACCACAACTCCGAGCCTTCAAAAAATCCCGATGACAGTAACTGGTAGATCTCCTCGTCACAATACGGAATCCAACAAAACTGTAAACATTAATTAAATTATAAAATTAGTATAAATAAATAAAATTTTAATTAATTTACTAAAATAATATTTACCGTGTGTCGACCGATGATATTAATCCTCATTCGTATATCATTTTTATTTGTAATCGACAACTTTGTCTCTGTAATTTTATGTCGCCATTTAAAGAATATAATAAATAAAAATTAAAAAAAATAAGAATAAAAATAAATCTAAAAATTTATTAAAAAAATAGAAAGTTAAAAAATTACCTTTCAGTCAGAGTAAACTCAACCGGGGTTGCTATAATTAGTGTAAAAAAGGGGGAATCGATACCACATCCAAGCATGTAGCAAGACTAGACAACCCACTACATCGTCTTTTTGACCCCTTTCAATGATGGTAGCCTTGCAAAGTTCCCGGTATAAAAATGTCAAAATTATCGAGCCCCAACTAGTATTACGACACTCAGTAAAATTATTCAATATCGAAAGATGTTGAAAGATGTTGAGTGTGCACTAAATTCCTAGATTTATCCGATAACAATATCCCTCCAATCAACTAGAGAAGAAATGCTCCGGCTGCAAATATGGTCTCATCCTCGATAGAGTCGTCAGTCACATGAAAGTCAGACTCCAACCAAGTTATTTGTATCCAGTACCCGTCTAAAACCTCTGGTGGTGACATCTTTCCCAAAACTTCCTCAACAATTTGGAATCGGTTGTAATCGTTGTGCCTCACTGGTGTCGCACTATTAGTCGAAACACCGAGTTGGTAAGCGACATCTTCTAACGTAATCGTCACTTCACCACTCGAAAAATAGAAAGTATGCATTTTGGGCCTCCAAAGTTCAGTTACAGCCGAAATTAGTGTCGGATTCACCTTAAAACACGAAGAAATGTGGTCGGATAAAACCCAAATTATTTTAGATATATAAAAATTTTATTATCAAAAATAAACTTAAATTTAGGAATTATTTTTAATGTTCTTTTCTTCTCCACTAAGTGTCTTACAATACTTATATCAATGAAAATGGAAGCTCGATGCCAATCGAAGACACCATATTCGGCTTGTACCAGTGCAGAGGTGATTTTAAGTTCGTTAGATAATTAAAAAGTGTGAAACCTATCCACTTACCTTTTCTTATATTCTCAATAGCTGCATCAACAGTATTATCATATTTTATACGAAGAATATTACATTTTCTATTTTATTGTTGCTTTTCAAAAATTTCCACTTAAAATCTAAATATCTTTTTCTTTTAATTTATTTAAAATATTAATGAAAAGTTATTAGTTAGTTTAGTTTAAATTTCAAAATAGGAGAATTGATCAATTGCTGTATATTTTGAACTTCATATTTGCATTAGGAATCTCAGGAAATTTTTATGATTATATCTCAAATAGCAGCCTTTTAGTTGTAAAGAAGCATAGTTAGAGTCTGGACAAACCAAGTATATTTGGTTAACGGCACTTTGCATGCATCTTGAGAAGTTAGCATTCTGCAAATCATCCCGGCACTGTTACAAGCTGAATATTGTGTCTTCAGCCGACGTCGAGCTTCCATTTCCATTAATATCAGTATTATAAGACACTTGAGTGGAGAAGAAAATAGCATTAGTGAAGATTTTAAAAATAGTCCCTAAATTTAAGTTTAGTTTTGAGAATAAAATCAGGTTTCTTATGTCCCAGGTCTCATCCTTGTTTCCAAGGCGTGTGATCTTGCTGCACCATTTGTTTATTGTTTGTGGTCGAATATTAGTATATTCAATGAAATTATGGATTTAGTTCATAACTCTTGCTCTATGATGCTTAAATTATGTGGTTGTATTCTGAGTAGGGAGAACTATAACCATAGTTTCTCTGCAATTTTGACTGCTAAGGTGTATGGGTTATTCTCTGTGCCAATTAACAGCCATTTCAGTTGACTTTTTTTCCTGAACATTAAGTCCCAAGTCTTGCACAATGTAATACAGGTTGAACTAGGTTGTTAGATTCTACTATTAGTCAAAATGATTAGTAGATGGAGCAATTCGCATCGCAACAAGTAGAATGATGCATATCTGCATGAATCCGAGGTAATAATGTTGGACCAGTTTGTGAGTTATCTATTGGAAAACTTGTTGTCTACTTGAATCTCCCTTTTCTGCTCCTCATCGTTGGAAAACTTGCACCAGTTAATATTTAGCTCTTACATGGAAATACAATCAGATCAAAGTGCCACGAGCTGCCCTTGGACCACTATCTGGGCGTGTACCGATACTTCATACTTGGAGGCAGAGATGGACCCGCGGGGGCCCCGGGGGGGGGACTAGAATGTTGACAAATCAAAGAAAATGCTGGAAGAGACGCTCAAATGGAATCAACCACTAACCTGAGAGGTTGGCTATAGCGTTCCTTTTTAACCCCCGGCAAATTTTTGAAGCATTCTGGAAGGTTTGAGTTATATCCACTGCAATAATTTCCATTTACATATTTTGCATATGTTCTAGGCTGCCATGGATGAACACTAGTCATTCTGCGTTTGATGTGTTTGGAGTTTAACGTTTAGACAATGTTAAGGACAAGGTTCTTGAAAGCTAAATGAGGTGACATTGATGCATTGAAATCTACCAACTGAAATCGGAGGAAAGGACATATTGGAGTACAACCATGAAGAATTCACCAAACAAATGATCCAGGATGATATCAAGTCTGCCAATTTGTGGGGATTCAATGACAAAGCCCAACGTTAGGAACGGTCACTCTGGATCCGATGTTGTTCTTGCACCAGCAGCCAGTTGATCTACTTGCGCTCAGCCAATTATGTAGTAATACATTCATATACACATTGTCTATGCAACTGAAAGTGAGCTGTACGTATTAGCTTCTTTTTTTTATTCACTGTACGTATTAGCTTGTTGCTATGGAAAGGGGATTAGTTTCTGTCATTCCCCCGATGATGTACGCTACTTTGCCACCGCCTTTACCCTTTCTACATGCTGCATGTAAAGAGAAAAACAATGCATTCATGTGAGATGCATACAAAAAGGTTGCCAAATCCAGACCCAACACAAGACAGTAGGATTTTATGAATTTTATTAATCCAAGGAAAAAAAATGAAATTCTGCAACAGGAACGATCAACGAGCCCAGAAACAGAAGATGCGGAAAAAATAGCTAGTAGCGTGTTTGGCATTGATGAGTGATGGCTTGGGAAGTAAAGTCCAACGGTACACACCATAGTTTCTCATATTATTTAGTGGAAAATTCCACATTTTTTTTAAATGGACTGAATTTGTGGGTTTTCTTTGGTCATTCTTTTTATTTTGTCAGTGAGATTCATTATCATGAAATGAAAAATAACAACAATGAAATCATTTATTACAAAATTAGATATAATGATGCGAACAATAGAAACTCTGTTTCCAACAAGTCAACCTTCAATTTTAATTTTAAAAAATAGAATCATGTGATTTTAATAAACCTACTCAACTAACTGACTTGAACTGTTACAAGGATTAAACATTTGTGGGCACATTTAGGCTTAGGCGCAACAAAAGTGGCTGAAAACAAATGCCATATAATCATAGCTACCTTTTACTTTAACCGTTCAAGTTATGGGATTACGCCACTTCGCATTTCAATCTTTTATAACTTTTTTTCCAAAGATTTGTGATTTTGGGTTGATTTAGAGAACTGGTGGATACTTGAGATTTGCTTAATAGTCCTTGAAAGTATGATTCAGAGAGCTGGAAACCAATATGTATTTTTCCAACCGAGCTAAATGCTCTAATAAAGTGACAACCATTGAAGAAATGTAATCATCAACTCAAAGACTATACTTGTTGGCAAACAATAAAGTTGAAAGCTTTATCTTTGTTTTCCCACTCCAGAAAAAAGAAAGAGGGTTCTATTCGTATACAAGAACGAGATAAATTTATGTAATTAAAGAAAATGAAATATAAAATCAATATTATACTCGTATTATGTTATATTAGTCTTATTTATATTCACTTAAACCTATTAAATTAAAACCTATATAAAAATATTTTTCACCATATACAAAAACTCTATAAATCATTGAACTTCGAGGGGGGAAATGACTCTAGCTTCGGTTAGAAGTTCTCTTTATGAAAATCGAACTTTGTGGAGGTCTTGTGAGAGAAATCTGAAGCCAGTTGTCTTAGCTCTTGGGTTAGTGCGGGTGCCCCACAGTAGAAAACTCCTGCATCATTGAAAGCATCCATGGAAGAAAAAGTATAGTAAGTAAATACAATTAGAAAGGTAGGCCATATATTAGGCAAAAGATGGTTAGTTGAAAAGTGAAAACTGACCAATCCTTGCGTCGGGATGATGTAGGGCGATCTTCTTATAGACTTGGCGCCAGTTTGGCTTGGCAAAGTGGGATTTTACCCGAGTTCCTGACACGACGTCCACACCGTTCTTCGCATGGTGTAATGATTGAAGCATCGTTATGAGAGCCGATCTTGCGTCTCCTTCCTCGTACACGCTGGTGCAATAGTTGTGGAGCTCAATCACATGCTTCTCGTCCATCTCTGCCACTTCGTTCATTATCCCTTTGAACCACTCGAACGACCCTTGTTCCCTTGTTACCCAATAGAAGTAGGCTTTCCTTGTCTTGAAATTGAACCCTTTGTTGTTCTTGTTCTTCTTCTTGTTGTAGTTCCCATTCTCCAAGGCTGACCCCGGAACAGAATCCTCTTCCATTTTCATGTTGTTGATGATGTCCTTTACAATGCTGATCATTGGGGTAGCACCAATTCCGAGCCCCACTAGGAGCACCACATCGTATTTCTTGTAATCTTGTGCTGGAGCTCCGTATGGACCGTCGATCAAAATCTTGGGGAAGCTGTAGATCGATGAATACAATATAAAGCAATTCATAACATACCACATTACACATTTTTAATGTTGGTTCCGTCAATGACTTGAATAAAAGGATGAGGAAATCTTACCTTGTATCGGTTCCTTCTGCCCTAAGCAATCCACTCTTCCCAGCAGGTGGAGGCTGACAGACCTGTTTAACATTCGAATAGTATACAAGAAGAAACTAATAAGGCATTTGATTCCGGTATCGAGTTTTGACTTTAGAGGAGAAGGGAAACATTAACCAACCTCGGAGAAAACAGTTTTGAGTTGCCTTGTCCAGTCACCCAGAGTTCGAATGTGAACGCTAAGGTAGTCATCTCCTGGTGCTGAAGTGATGGAGAATGGATGCCTGCACTATCCGACGGTTCCTTTAGTTAATGAAATAATATCACTGAAGCAAAGCGAGCGATGACACAAGGACCGAAATGCACATACCACTCAAATGACGAGACTGCAGAGCAGTTGACAAACATGTATTGCCCGCTTTTGTATTTGAATCCTTGGGGCTTTGACATATGCAGTGCCAATACATTTCCGGGATACACAGCAACCTTTCATATTTGAAGAAAAGAAAAATAGAATATCAGTATGTTCCAAAAAGAGTGAAAATTTCAGTGCAACTCGCTGCAAATGTAAGATACTTGAAGCATATAATACAAGTTTTTATACCTTGAGAATTTTAACTGCCTTGATACTTGATCTGAAAGCTCGAATCAACCTTTCACAAGCATACAGAGTTATTGGTACTGCTAGATACATCCATGTCTGCAATTAAGATACAGAGATTGATTACTGTCCACGATTGTAACTATGGGTGGAATCAAAATCAGATGAAAAATGAAGAAGAAAAAACTTACCGTTTTCTGATACCATTTCTTGGTGAGGTACAGGTAAATACCATGAACAATGAGGAGAGTGTAGACAATAACAAAAAGGTGATGGGAATACCAAAATGCATTGAATCCGGTGAGCCTCTTAAGGAACTTGGGAAGGTTGAGCTTGTTGCGCCTGAACCACGGAGTGGCAAGTGTGAAAGCTATGGCCATTAGAACCACCATTATAACACCTGTTACACCTTCAACTCCCTTCAGAAACCACCAATAGTTTGGAGGTTGCTCTTCCCCAAAGTAAGGTTCCATAGGCTCATATTCTTCCTCGGTGGCATGAAGAAGACGTGGGAAATCACACGTTAAATGAGCACCTCCGTGTAGGATCAGCCCGATCGTGATTCCAACGGCAATAACCTGAATATTACATTTTATTATATTAAAATAAATCTAATTTCAGATTATGAAGTTGAAATAGAACTGTCACTATTGCAAAAAGGCAACAAAAGTTTAAGACTAACCTTGTGGAAATTCAAGTTGTCATCGAACGGAACAACAGCGCCTAATTTAGTCTTGTTTCTAAGCCAAGTGATGGTGTTTCGGCACGCTGGTAGCAAAATCAAAGCCATGTTGAATTTAAGAGTCTCTGCACCTCCTTTAGCAATGCAAACACAGTAGCCCATCACATCGAAAGCGGCCTTGTTGCGGTACTGCACGAACTTATAAGCGAACAAGCCACTCACAATGACAAGCCACAACATCATAACCCAGGCCCTTTGCCAATTATCCATTATAAAGTATTTGATCTTGTCGTACCACCTTTTTAAAGGGTTGTTCTCTAGAGTAGGTTTCAGTTTCTGGCTTAACATTTGACTCAGAATTCGGCTATCGCTTAGCCTCACGGATTGGTTCGGAGCTTGCAATAGGAGCATTTCCAGGTTATTGATCTGTTCAGTGCCAAAGATGAATAAACATTAGGAAATAAAGATATCGGAAGACAAAAACAAGATAGATTTCTCTTTGACCTTGGGATTGGTCTATTTACCATGATGTATCCAACATTATCTGGATCCAATTCTTCCATGATCAAAGCGGCATACTCTTCAGTTTGTTTCTGAATGTTAGAGAGTTTGTTTGCAGAAGCACTGAGGCTGATAATCTAGATTATAAAATTCATATTGTTAAAAAAATGTTGGAAAATGAAAAAATACTTAAAAATTACCAAATGTAAATATTCTTTTTCTTCTTTTTTTTTGGTCATTTGTAGTTAGTGGAATGAGGTTGGGGCACATGACCTACCTCCTTGACTTCTTCTTCTGTGATCCTCCCATCAGCATCTTTGTCCACCCTGCACCATTACAAATTACTTAGTAAAGAATAGATTTGCACGGTGAAAATTAAAAGTGTTCTGAATACATGGAGGAATCAGGTTTACATGTCGAAGAATGTTTGGAGTCTAGAATCAAAGCTTTCGTCAGAAATCTGATCCCAGAATTGTTTGAGTTGTATTTTATGGATGTAGTCACCGGTTACATTGTGTCTCCGAGCCAGTGCTTGAAACAGCTCACCAGCAAATTCTTTAGACTGCTTCATCCCTGTATTTCGAAAGATGAAGAAAAGGTTTGTAAAGCTTTAGAAACTTGATGCTCCTTCCAGGGTGAAGACATTTGAGTCATGAAACTCGTACCAATGCAATCTGCGAATCGAGAGCGATGAAGAAGGCTATCAGTAGAGGCAGTTAAATCATCGAACCGCTTCTCCACCGAGGACCATCCATTCCCAGAGGCCCCTGTTTTCGTAGTGATGAACTTGAGTCCTTTCAAGGCTAGAGCTGCAGCAGATTTAGTCCTGTCAAATCTCCTCCCTGCATTAGAAGGTCTCCTCGAAACTACACGCTTCAGCTCCTGAGAAACTTGCTTGATTCGAGCCGACGTGTTCCTCAACAAATAGGAACGAAAAGAAGCCGACTTGTTCTCCAGGGTTCGCTTAGCTAGCAACGATAGTTCAGGGTCTTTGTGGCAACCATCGGCACCTTGAACGCTGTGAACCGCGACGGAGTCGTCGAGGATATCGAGGGTGATTTCGACGTAGTCATCATTTCCAGAAGAGGAATCAAAAGAAGCGACGCTGCCAGTAGAGTTGGTCTCAGCCATGGTGATTTCATGTGGAAGATTGAACCTTGCACTCTTCTTGGAAGATCCTTTGTTGCGCCCACCAACGAGTATTGGTCCGCTAAACGCTGCCCTTTCGCTTGCTATGCTTTCTGTATCGGAACTGCCCTCCGAATACCCTCCATTATTCCTCATTTTTCTCAGAGTATGGGAACAGAAAATTAGAACAATGCTTATATTAATGGAAACAAAGGGTGTGATTCTAACTTTTAGGTATGGTGGGGAATTTTATTTTTGGTAATGTTTTATTATTAATAGTAGATTTTTAGAGTATATTATCGGGAATGTCATTACCTCCTTTTCCTTAGGTATTGTAATATTACCGACGTTTTGGACTAAAATGTTCTTAATTTTTTATTTTTTTTCCAAAAATATCATTCTTCTGTTATTGAATAATAAAAATTCTACGAAGGTTAAATTATAAATTTATCCTTAAATTATTTTAGATTTACAAAAAAATCTATAATTAAAATTTTATATGAAGTTCAGGGGTTAAAATTTTTTTTACCCTTTTATTAATTTTTTTTATATTTTTAATTTAGTAAAAAAAATTATATAAATATTATGAATTTAATTTTTAAAGAAAATATATAAATATTTTATAATTTGTAATATTATATAAATATATAATAAGGACGATTTGGTCAAATATATATTCTAACAATATTTTATTCCTTTAACCAAACACGGTAATCTTACGTTTTTGCTAAACCAACCAAACACAAAATACAACATTCTCAGTAATCTTATTTTCTATTAATTTTTTATTCTTACTGGTCTTATATTTTGTTGAGAAAAAATAGATATAGACAACGTCTTTGAGGGAGAAAAAATGCAGTCAGATACGGAAAATGAAGTGAGAAACCAATCAGTTATTACAGGAAGTCAGATTCTTGGCGCCGGTCAAACACCCTTTCACACTATATATATATACACACACACGAGTGAAAAAATATTTGGATTATTTAGAATATTATTAGTACAACTCAAAGTCTCATATTTTAATTTGATAGTTTAGAATCCCATATGTTGATTTTCATTTAAGTATGATTTGTTTCATTCAAATAAGCAAGCTAGCAGAATTATGATGTGCTTATAGACAATTGGATAACTGATTCTGTAATCTAATTCAATATTTAATAATTTAAAATCATATAAAAAAATCTAATTCGACGATGAAAATGTGTGAAAAACTCTATTATCTAATTAATAATTATAATAGCGCTTTACCCTCAAAAAGTATAATTATAATAATGTATTTCGTTTATTAGATTTTTTTATTTTATTTTTTATAATTTTATGTGAATATAATATAGTATATGTTCAAAAAAATTTAATCATTTAACCCTCATACTTCATATAAGATGTTCAAGCCCAAAATCTAAAGGAATAATAACAATCTCTTAACCACTAAGAGACTGTTTGTTTTACTGAAAATATTTTTCTGAAAATATTTTTTGTAAAATGAAATATATTTTTTGGAAAATATTTTTTGAAAAACGTTTTACGGTGTTTGGGAGAGGTTGTGTAAACTATTTTTCACTACTTAATGAATTTTTAAAAATTATTTATTATAAATTTTAAATATAATAAATAATATTATTTATCAAAAAATATTATTATTTTAAAAATATTAGAATAATTTATTTATTATTATTAAAATATTATTTTTATAATTTTATTAATAAAAATATTAAGATTAGTACATTGTAGTGAAATAAAAATATTATAAACTATATTTATTATTTATTAAAATAATAGTACTATATTATATTTTAAAAAATATTAATTAATATATTTTAAATATCTTTATTAAAATATTATTATATTAAATACATAAATAATATTATTAATTATTAATAATTTAATAATATTATTCTATGAAATTAATAAATAATATACATTTTATTAATAATTTATTATATATTATTAAAATAAAAATATAATATCTTATATCATTATAATATAATTAAGTATTTTATTATAATATTTAAAAATATTATATTATATTATTAGAAATATTAATAAATGTATTTTAAATATTTTAATAATTAATATTTTTATTAAAATGATATTAAAATATTTTATTAATATTAAATTCATAAAATAAAATTATTTTGAGTGTTTATTCTTTGAAGTGAAAAGTTTAGAAAATGACTTACGAAAAATTTCTTGCTTACAGAAAATCAAACCGTAAGTTATTTTCCAGAAAATACAAATAAAATTCGATTGATCAGGAAAATATTTTACGTTGACCAGTCAGTTTTCCTCCAACCAAACACTAAAAAATGAGAAAAATGTTTTCCTAAAAATATTTTACGTGAAACAAATATACCCTAAGTTCGCTAGGTTTATACGTATTTTTCCCTAAAAATCTAATTATAATAATGTTGCGTTTCGTTTATTTCTTGTTTTTGTTTTGCTTTATATTAATTTGTATGTACTATTTTAGTTTTAGAGGAAGAAATCTTTAAATTTATGAAAAAAATAACATCATATTTTAATTTTTTTATCTAATTCATATTATATATTGTGATACAAACTTGTGGTATTTATAAAATTTTTAAAAGAATTCTAAAAATATATTTTAAAAAATGTTTTTCATGAAAAAAAGTCAAAAACCATTATGAGATATATATAACACCATCAGTTAAAAATTTAATAAATAAGATTTTAAATTACAAAAATTAATTAAATAAAAAATCAATTATTCTTTTAATTCGCTTCTAACATTCGTTGATTGTTTATTTTTCACTAATATATATTGATGCATATTTTAAATGAATTGTTAAGATTATTTATCACGAGTTGAAATTGATTACGTGAAGGGAAAAAAGCAATGAAAACAATATTCTCATCCTCATATTTATTTAATATTTTCATATCTACTATCTGTTATCAATTTTTATACAAAATTTTTAAATCTACACCCGTTCACACAAGTACATTCTCAAATTCATCCTCATAACCCATTCTATATCCGCATGTACTCATCCATACATGTTTGACAGCAATCTCACGGTTTACATAAGCTATAAAATATAAAACAAACGCATCCATTATGAAGCATAGCAAAATAAATTAAGGATTAACATAATTTTTAAAATAAATCAAGGTCTTAATACATAATAATCGTAATGAAAGACATAATTAAAGTCTAGAAACATAAATGACAAACACAATATTTTGTTATTCTGTACAACATTTTCAAATTTTAATATTTTTCACATCAGTCACTCCAATATTACAATTATCATTTATGGAGGATATTTAGTGAACGAGGCAGGTAAGATCTCAAGCACGTACCTATCCACGTCAGACATGTTACAAAAGTCATGAAATCGTATTAGTCGATCATCCCTAAATATTCCCAATAATCAACCCCATGTTCAAGTCAACACAACGTAAAAGAAGGGGGAGGTTTGCCTGTGTGATTAAAGGTGATAATTATAACAAAATTTTCTTATATTCACCGGCTCAATTAGCTTGAAAAAAATTTCTTACATGGTCCTTTCCACACTTTTTACTAAACTTTGCAAAGGGACGTGATGAAAAGCTACAAGATTTTTTTTACCTTGCAGGAAGTAAAACCAAAAGGGGTTTATGAATTATATAATATATTAAAATAAATTTATATATTATAAGCATATAAAATAAGTCAGGTCGACGTAGAATCAGGTTTAAGTCTTGAATGCAAATTCTCCTAAATTTAAGATGAGTCCTTAGGCTTGGACGAGTAACAATGTCCCTTGAACAAATCTAATTATACGTAAGTGGTAGATTTATTCTATTTACTCTAATTTAATCATTTTAGTTCTTATATATATATATATTTAAAACTTTAGTTCTTATGTATTATACATAAGGTGTACACTTATATATATATATATATATAAACATGTATGAAAAAGTGATAAATACGCCAAAAACAGTTTGTTTAATCCTAAGTTCGAAGTGGACATATTAAAACGCTCGCTGGGTTTATTAGAGTTTGATTGGTAAACTTAAAATTTTATCATTTCAATTGACCAAACAAACAAAAAACACACAATAAAGAAAAAAGCGTATGAAATGGGTTAGAGTTAATACTTCCACCGTAAATAGCATTAAGTCTGTCACGAATGCCATATTAGGATTAATTTAAAATATTACACACTTTTTTTTCAAAATTAATTCAAGCTTTAAATTTCGGGGGAACTCAATGGCATACAATCGGATCCTGGAGTTCATGCCGATAGTAGTAGTAGCGAAGTCTGCAAAAGGGTAAAGAAATACACGTGCATGGAAAAGAGGGTGACATGGGCATTGACCAAACAATCTTGCGCACCTAATAATTTATGTAACTGTTACCAAAAAGAGTTTAATTTATTCTTCCAGCCCTCTTCTTATTCATACATTTGAATTCTTGATAATCTATTTTTTATTGACAAATTCTAAACCTAATCTTATTCCTATTTAGATGGAAAGAAAAATAAACTTTACAAGTAGGAAATAGAGTGTTCCTCGTAGGACATGATATAAGAAAATATGAAAGAACCAGTTAAATGTGTTTGTTTCTAGTTAATCTATTTCTAACCTTTTGAATTTAATTCTTTTAATTAAATAATTAAAGTTTGTTTTGATAAATTAGATAATGTGGTAATCTAAAAGAAAAGATTGATTAGATGGACTAGTATCAAGGGACGAATCTTTCTTGGGAGTGGAAGGGGCTATTGCCTCCTAATTTTGATGGTTTAATTAGTTTTAGACTATTGATATTTTTAAAATATTATAATTAAGTTATTGTCTCTCCCAAAATTTGCTAGTTCAATTATATTTTAAGATATTTCCGTTTTAAAATTGAAATTTGACTTCTAATTTTTCTGGTTTCATTACTCTTTAATACTTTTTAATTTTAAAATTAGTGAAATTAAATCATAACTCCTTTAAATTTTATAATTTATTCAATTTTAAAGATCCTATTTATTTTAAAATTAAATAACTTATCCCTTCATAATTTAATCCTAGCTCCATCCCTGCTAGTATATGCATGAAATGCTAGATAAACAACTCCACATAATCTAATTTAATAGAAAGTTATTGATAACATTATCAATAGGGGGTGGCAACAAGGCGGGACGGGGACAATTTTGCATTATACATCCTGTTCCCAACACTTGCGGGTATAGTATTGGGGAATCCCCATTATATGTTTCAGGGATTTTTTT